CAGAAGTCGAGAGGAATCGAGTGGGAAAAGAAGGGGCTGGAGGTCTAAAGGCTGCAGTGGGCCAGATCACCAAGAACCGTGTGCATTATGTGGAGAAGTACAAACATGGTGGGCAGCGGGAGGCCAACGCTTTAAGCCCAGGTGTGACTTGATATAATGACCTGGTAGCTTTATGGAGAATGATAGGTGACCCTCACTGAGTGCTGTTATATTCTATGCTGAACACTCTACCCGCATTAGCTCATTTAACCTTCACAAAAACTCCTTCACAAAAACAGGTTCTGCTGTGATCCCCATTTAAAGATGAGTGAGGCAGAGAGAGTCACATATTCTAGGACAAATCTGGCCATCTGGCAGGAAGACCCATAAAGAAACTGTTGTACTAGGGAAGCATCAGCAAAGATAGAGAGAAGTGGGTAAGTTTGAAAATAGGAAGTGGACTTGATAACTTTTTTCTTTTTTTTTTTTTGAGATGGAGTCTTACTCTGTCACCTAGGCTGGAGTGCAGTGGCGTGACCTCGGCCCACTGCAACCTCCACCTTCCAAATTCAAGCAATTCTTCTGCCTCAGCCTCCTGAGTAGCTGGATTACAGGCTCATGCTACCACGCCCCACTGTTTTTGTATTTTTAGTAGAGATGGTTTTCACTGTGTTAACCAGGATGGTCTTGAACTCCTGACCTCATGATCCGCCCACCTTGGCCTCCCAAAGAGCTGGGATTACAAGTCTGCACCTGGATGGACTTGATACTTCTTGAAGATTGACTAGAAATAGGAAAGAGAGGGGAAGAAGTAAACAATGACCGTTCCACCACAGTTTCTGAGTTTGAATTCTATTTCTGACTAGCTGGTAACCTTGGCAAGTTTTGCTAGGCTTCATTTTCAATATTGGTGCAAAAAGTCACCATCAAGTTTTAGGTGTGCAGAGATGTATACCTGGCCTCATTACATAAAGGATATGATGTGGCTTACAAGCATAACACATAAAATGGAATGATTTTGAAAACTAAGAAAAGAGGCCTCATCTTGTAAGGATTGAATACGATGGTGCACAGGGCCCAGCGAGGCTCTGGCACACAGGAAGTGCTTCAGTAGTTTTCGATGCTTGCCTGGCACCTGCCGGCCTCCACTCCACATGCCCAACATTCTGGATTCCTCTCCTCCTCCTACAGGGTCTGGATTTTCATGCTTCTTTCCTAACTCTGTCACTTCCAGGTCATTGCCCCACAAAGACATACAGGCATAGTTCAGATATTGTGGGGCTGGTTCCAGACCACCGCTATAAAGCATATGTCACGGCAAAGGAAGTCATACAAACTTCCTGTTCCCCAGAGGCTATAAAAGTGATGTTCATACAACTGTAGTCTACTGTAGTGTGCTGTAGGCCACTAAGTGTGCAACTGCATGATGCCTAAAAGCAGTATGCACGTATTAACTTAAAATACTTAATTGCTAAGGATCATTTGAGCCTACAGGGGGTTGTAATCTTTTTTGCTCATGGAGGGTCTTGCCTTGACGTTGATGGCTACTGACTGATCGGTGTGGTGGTTGCTGATCAGCATGGCTGTAGCAATTTCTTAAAATAAGACAACAATGAAGTTTGGCACACAATTAACCCTTCCTTTGATGAAAATTTCCCTGTAGCATCTGATACTATTGGGTAGTATTTTACCCACTGTAGAACATCTTCCAAAATTGGAGTCAATTCCCTCAAACCCTGATGCTGCTTTATTAAATGAATTTATATAATATTCTAAGTCCTTTGTTGTCATTTCAATTATGTTCACAGCATCTTCACCAGAAGTAGATTCCATCTCAAGAAACCACTTTCTTTGCTCATCCAGAAGAACCAGCTCCTCATCTTCAAGTTTTATCATGAGATTGCAGCAACACATCTTTTGCTTCACTTCTAATTCTAGTTCTCGTGCTATTTCTACCACATCTGCAGTGACCTCCTTCATTAAAGTCTTGAATCCCTTAAAGTCATCCATGAGGGTTAGAATTGACTTCTTCCAAACTCCTGTTAACTTTGGTATTTTGATCTCGTCCCATGAATCACAAATGTTCCTAATGGCATGTAGGATGGTGAATCCTTTCCAGAAGGGGTTCAATTTACTTTACAAATCCATCAGAGAAATCATTATCTATGGTAGTAATAGCCTCAAAAATGTATTTCCCAAACAGTAAGATGTGGAAAGTTGAAATTACTCCTTGATCCATGGGCTGCAGATTGAATGTTGTGTTAGCAGACATGAAAACAACATTCATCAAATACACAAAATATACACTCTTATCAGTACCACATCATATCAACTTAGAAGTTTAAATGAAATGTTGGTTGACTTCTTGTTTGTTATTCTCTTCCCTCATTTTGTTTCATGTCTCCATTATTAAGGACAATTATAGGCATACCCATATTTAGACTGCATTCTAGCCCGGGCAATAAAGCAATACCCCCATTCTCTCTACTGCTTCCTCTTTCTCTTTCTTCCTCTTTTTTATTCTTTTTCTTATTATTCTTTTTTTCTTTCTCAAAAAAAAAAGAGTAGCACTGATGATGAAATTAATCTTATGAAATGCTGATTTTAAAAAATCAGTTATCGAGGTTTAAAAAAAAAAGAAAGAAAACAACATTCATCTTGTAAATCTTCATCAGAGCTCTTGGGTTGCCAGGTATATTGTCAATGAACAGTTACATTTTGAAAGAAATCTTTGAGCAGTAGGCCTCAACAGAGTGCTTAAAATATTCAGTAAACCATGCTGTAAACAGATGTGCTTCTATACGAGCTTTGTTGTTCCTTTTATAGAGGATGGGCAGAGCAGGTTTAGCATCATTCTGAATAGCCCTCAGATTTTCAGAGTGATAAATGAGCACTGGCTTTAACTTCAAGTCACCAACTACTTTAGCCCCTAATAAGAGAGTCAGCCTGTCCTTTGAAGCCAGGCATTGACTTCTCCTCTCTAGTTATGGAAGTCCTCGATGGCATCTTCTTCCAATTGAAGGCTGTTTCATTTACACTGAAAATCCATGGTTTAGTGTAGCTACCTTCATCAATAGGTGGATCTTCTGGATAAATAAACGTGCCATAGCTTCCACATCAGCACTTGCTGTTTCACATTATACTTTTACATTATAGAGATAGTCTCTTTCCTTAAACCTCAGCTAGCTGCAAGCTTGTCATCTACAACTTCCTCATCTCTCTCAGCCTTCATAGAATTGAAGAGAGTCAGGGCTTTGCTTTGGATTAGGCTTTGGTTTAAGGGAGTGTCCATACAAGAAGCTTTTTGTTTGTTTTTTGAGATGGAATCTCGTTCTGTTGCCCAGGCTGGAGTGCAGTGGTACAATCTTGGCTCACTGCAACCTCTGCCTCCCAGGTTCAAGCAATTCTCCTGCCTCAGCCTCCCAAGTAGCTGGTACCACTGGCACCCACCAGCAAGCCCAGTTAATTTTCGTATTTTTAGTAGAGATGGGGTTTCGCCACATGGGCCAGGATGGTCTTGAACTCCTGACCTTGTGATCCAACCACCTCAGCCTCCCAAAGTGCTGGGATTATAGCAAAAAGTTTTGCATGGATGTTTATAGCAGTATTCTTTATAATAACAACAACAAAAAAGGTGGGAAACAACCTAAATGTCCAGCAACTAATTAATGGATAAACAAAAATGTTGCATATTCATATGATACAGTATTATTTGGCAATCAAAAGGAACCATGTATATGTGACAGCATGGATGAACCTTGAAAACATTATGCTATGAAAGCCAGCACAGAAGACCACATAGAGTATGATTTCATTAATATGACATGTCCAGATATGCAAATGTATAGAGACAAGTCAATTAACGGTTGCCTAGGGCTAGTAGTATGGAGGGTGACTGCTAACGGGTACAGGTTTCTCTTCGGGGTAATAAAAATGTTCTAAAATTGATTGTGGTGATGGTGGCAACTTTGTGAATATACTAAAGACCACTGAACTATACACTTCAAGTAGGTAGATTGTACAGTATTTGAGTAATATCTCATAAAGCTATTACCAAAAAACAATAATAATAATAAAAGGAAGTAGTGTCCACAGGCTTTGGTTGCTGATTGGCCAGGAGTGCTGAAAAGTCAAGAGTAAAAACTGGACTTTGACTCATCTCTCTCTAAACTGAGCTTGCGTGAAAGCCAGTTTGTGAGGTGAAAAGGGGCAATGAATCCAAGAGTGCTCCCGTTAGAAGTCTTGTTGTAAAAGGAAAGACGGAACTACAATGGTGGAAATGAGGGATGAGAGAGTCAGCTGAAAATCTGGGCTATTCACGGCATTTTTGCAAATTATGGTGGATCCTGTACTTGATTGAAGTCCCCTGATTCCCAGACTGGGTCTCTAGAATGCTAAGTTGTTACCAGAAATCCATGAGCAATTTTCACATTCAGTTTGGGAGCTGTTGAATGATGATTCTGTCCTTGCTACCTGTGCCTCTGAGAGGCAGCTGCAAAGTCTCCTTATTCAGGTGCAGGTGCCAGCCTGGCTTGGGGAGAGGGGGCAGGACAGGGTCTCTGACTGTCTTAGTTGAATCCACAGGTATGATCTCAGAATTGAGCATTTCAGGCACTGAAGCCCTCATATACATTCTTCTAGCAACTAAAGGCAACTAGGCAGAACCATTTTTCTTGTCTTAAAAGTGCTGTGATATTTCTTCCTTGCTGAGCAGCTATGGGGCTAGGCACAGAGAAGGGACTTAGAAGTACACATAGATTGAATGTTCTGTTCCAACAAGCACACAGTCTAGAAGAGGCTTGTTGTCCACGTGATATGAATGAGCAGGAGCCACAGCAGAAAAACCTACTGGGATGTGACAAACCATTTCCTTTCTCTCAGTCAGCCACAGGATCCTGCTGTTTTAACAAGTACTGAGGAAAATAACGTTTTGATAACCTGCGGCTTTGCACTTGCTTTCAAGCTATGCCTCACTGATCTGATGAGGGATGTTCAAGGGACAATTCAATATCAAATCCACGTGGGGAAAATAGCCATAGAGATGATTTATTAACTTAAAATCTCATACGTACATAAACATTTGCCCACATTCAAAATACACTCTGAGCTGAGGATAAACTGTGAGCTAGGAGTCCGCCAGTCTCCATTGCTCTTAGCAGACTTCGTGCAGCTCTGCTCCATCAGACCTCTCTCCTCCCCTGATTCTCTGGCCAGCAGTTCTCTATTATGAACTTGGTGCCAGAAGCAGGGCCAAGTGAAGAGTGGCTCTGAGGGAGGAGAAAGAGTCCTTCCTTCCCCATGCCATTTGGGGTGCTCTAGAAAAGTCCCCATCATGGGGATCAGGTTTGGACAAACACAAGTGTGCCTCCGGGAAGGGGACTGCCAGCAAAAGCTTTTCTGTGATTAACTCTGGTTCTCTAAGTCAAGCACTGCAGGCCTTACTTAGGGAGTTCAAAGGACATGCTGTGTCCTTTTCCATCTTGTAAACATTGATTGGCTTTTCTCTCACAGGAGGTGGGCAGCAGGGCGGGCAATGCCGTGGCACTATCCGCAGCCCCCTCAGTATGCGTCCAGTCTTGCTTTGGGAAAGTGTCTAAAGGCTAGACGAAAAGTGTCTAAAGGCAAATTCCAACCAGTAAAGGGCGGGAGATTGACAGGGAGGAAAGGCAGATTCCTCTGTGCCAGCTCCTTTCTCTTGGGATAGTCTGCAATAGCTTGGAGGCTCTGCAACAACCCTTTCATTCATATATATGTATATATTTCAAAGTATATCTAAACAGGTTAAAATGTTAGCACGTACTGTTCAATTAATAATGAAGACATTAGATTATACATAAATTTATATCCTAGTGCCCTTGCACCAACACCAACAAAATGTCCACAAATGAAAAAAAGGCAACTGGTGATGGGTTTGGCATGTGAAAAATGTGTTGACTGATGCTCTGCTGAAAGTCCATCTTTGCTTTTCCAAATTGGCCATTCATGGAGAGGCAAAGAAACAATTAAACTCTACTCTATGGCTGTGACCCCCAAAAGCCTTTAGTTTCAGATTCTGTTTACAATTATTCTGTGACCTTTCTTTGATCCTCTGGCATCCTCTCACTCCAGAGAGTTTTAAGGACACTGGAGTCTGGAATGGGTGACTGTGGGCATGGTTAGTCTATGGGAGTCAGGTGCACGTAAGCTGGTCATGACACAGCGGGCAGGGAAAAGCAAGTTCTGGCAACCTAAAAACGGCTGAGAGCTCAGTTTGCCATCCACCCATTTCTGCCATACCACAGAAAGCACCATACTCCAAAGGCTTTTTGGTATGGGACAAAACTGATTTGATTACTCTCAGAAGTGAACTTTACAAGGAAATTTTAATCTGTAATGATCTTCCAACTTTTTAAGGAAATGACTACAACTAGTTAGTCCTGACCTTCTATTTATTTCAGAAGAAAAATGGAATATTGGTGGGCTCCATTCTTTTATCTTCCAAAGAATAAAAAAATCCAAGTGAAAGAAGGCTGGGTGGAGGCAACAGGGCCAGGTTCAGCCTGAAGAGACACGAGCTTCGATCTATCTGGACAAGGAGGCTGCTCAACAAGGCTTTTCTAGATTGAAATAATTTAGTTTCAATTAAAACAATAATTCAGAGAAGCCATGCAGGCTCACTGCATGCAGGCTGCCCTGGCATACCCTCCCCTTGCTTTCAATGACTGGAGAGTTTTGAACTCTGGTTAAACCAGGGTCATCATCCCCATTAGCTCAAGAGGCTACTAGAGCCCACTGCAAGCTGAAGGACCCATCTCAAGAGCTCTGCGGGAGAAAAGACAGCAGAGAGGATGAGGTCTGCACTGCGTAACTTGCACAGGTTTTCTCTGGGTCAAAGCGAGGCCCAGTGAGAAAAAGCAGGGAGATCCTGCTTGGGTGGTGGAAAATGCTCTGGGAAGTAGAGATGGTTCTTTGGGACCATGAGCAGAGCACCTGCAAGGCCTGGTCAACTTGTATTCTTTAATCCCCATGGAGGAAAAGGGAGGGCCAGAGGAAGCCCATCAGCTTGCAGCAACTAGTGTCATTCTCTCTCTAGTGGTATTTTCTCCAGACACAACTTTGGGAAGTTCACAGGAGTACATGTGATGGAGGGTGAATAAACTGAATACTTGGATCAATAAAAAAATACCTAGAGATTGCTCTTATTCATTCTGGGATATCGGAGGGGTGGTCACCTGAACATCGGTAGGAAAAGTGCTTCAGGCTTGTGCCTCCACTGAATATCCCCAGGGCAATCAGTCCCTGACATGGTTTCGTGCTGCCTGCTCCCAAGGATTGGCTGGGTCTCACCCTCTAGCTCACTGAGCTCTTTGGTTATGGAATGAGCAGCCACCAGGCTGATGGCTACTGAGACGGACTCACAGTTGGCCCTCAGTGTTGTTTGTGATGGCAAGGGCACCAACTCCAACTTCAGAATTAAAGGACCACTTAGAGACATAGCTGTGAGAGAATTGGATGAGAAAGGTGAGAGGGTCTGTCTTTCTGAAACTGCTTATGTTTCAAAGGGGTTACTTTTAAATTAGAGGGATCTTTCAGTGGAAAGGTTTTTCTTGTATATAAAAGTGAACCAGCCTTTTCTAGCAGAAGTTTGAGAAGGACACACTCTTGAAATGAGGCTGAATATGCAATGGTTTCCACCACGCAGAAAGTATCCTATGTTAATTTTCTAATCTCTGTTTAGCATAAAAAAGATACCATCTTCCATTCCTACCCCCTTAGGGTGTTATCGAATGCCCGGTCTGACTGAAAACACCCTGGGTTGTTAGAATGATTTCTATATTCAATACATAACAGGATGCGAGTGATACAGGTCCTTGTGAAAGGAGAGACACAATTACTTTGCAATGAAATAATTTAAAATCCTAGATCAGTATGAGAGGAAACCCAAAAATTTCCTAGGAAAGTTTTGCAGTATGTCAAATAAAAAATATATCTTCCAGAATTTGATTCTCCTCCAGCTCTTCAGGGGTCCTGTGCATCCCCATCTTCTTCCGGGTCAATTTTGGAGGACTGAGTTGGAAAGTACCGTGATTCCAGGACCCAGCTTCTCTGGAGGGATAGCGCTGAGGTTTGGGAGCAGAGTTTGGGCTCAGAGACTGAACCAAATCCAACAAAGATGTCTCATACCTGTAAGACATACAACACAGACAGGAAAGGATCAGATTATTAGAAAATGAGAATCCAAGAAGCCCAGCAGAAATGGGCTATCCAGGGCAAGAATCAGATCAAAGATCATATCGTGCATAAGATGCTGCTTAGGGGAACTTTTGTGAAGGTAAACATCAGAAGGACTTGAAGAACCTAGGCTTTGCTGCCTGTCCATAACCTCTTTTCTTTTGCTGATTTCTAACCTTCCTTTATAACTTATGAAGAGAGACTGTAGAGTGGGAAAAGTAGTCATGATAACAGTAATGATATCAACAGTGACATGTACTACAAGCTTACTGTCAGGCACTGTTCACTACAAATATTTATCCTAAGAAGTAGGTACTGTACTACTCTGATCCCCATTATAAACAAGTGGAAATTAAGGCTCAGGGAAGTAACTCATCTAACAGAAAGCTATTACACAGAAGAGTCTAGAATTGAACCCAGGTGGTTTGTCTCCAGCACTCTCATCCAGGACACTAAAGCTACCTGTCAAAATCTTCACAGACAGACTTGGTTCAAATCTCTGTTCTACCATTTGCAAGTTGTGTAATACTGAGGCAGTTATTCAGTCTCTCAGTTCAGTCTTTTCATGTATAAGGGGCTAGCAAAACTCCAGTTAGGATTAAATTAATTAATTGATATAAATGAATACATAAAAGGCACTCAATAAATGGTAGTTCCTTCCTGTTAACCCCCTTCCACCTTCTCTAGAATTTGGTAAACGATTCTAAATCTATTAAGATATCCCTCCAAAGAAAGACTGCTTTGTGTCCAGCATTCTTATCAGAAAGGGTAAGTTTGGAGCAGCTTAGAGGTAAAGAAACAGTCTGGGGCCTCCATGGTAGCTCATGCCTAAAATCCCAGGACTTTGGGAGGCCGAGATGGGTGGATCACTTGAGGTCAGGAGTTTGAGACCAGCCTTGCCAGCATGTTGAAACTCTGTCTCTACTAAAAATACAAAAATTAGCCAGGCATGGTGGCATGTGTCCATAGTCTCTGCTACCCAGGAGACTGAGGCAGGAGAACCACTTGAACCTGGGAAGTGGAGGCTGCAGTGAGCCAAGGTTGCACCACTGTACTCCAGCCTGGGCAACAGAGCAAACAAACAAAAAGAAACAGTCTGGAGTAACACATAGGGCCCTGAGGGGATAGCTGGGGCCAGAACCTAGCTCCAAATTAATGGTGGTGATGATGGCAGCACCATCAGAAGCAGCTGTGGTGGAAAGCTGGCTTGTCTGTTTTCTAAGCCCATCCCTGTGGCAAAAATGTCATCTTTCTGGCCTGAGCACTGGGATATGAACTGCTAGCATTAAGGCTATAAATACCAGTAAATTATTACAAAATAAAAGCATGCACATGGACATTACAGTAAAGCATATCAGAGATACATTAGAATCCTTCAAAGAGTTTAGAGCTTCTGGTTTCAAAAACTGCTACAACACTGCAAAGCAAATATCCACAGGCTTAGAAATAAAAATTAAGGATTATTGCATTTGATAGGAAAAAACCCACCATTCTCATATGCAATTTCAAATGAACCAATTATCAACAATACAATTTATAAAATAATTTGTCTTTGTAATTAAAGATGTTGCTATAGAAAGCATAAATAGGCACTGTGAATTATAGACAAATCATTAAGTGATTTTTGGTTTCTGGTATGATCTCTACATGTCAGGACATGCTAGAGAAAACATTAAAATGACATTGCATAGATTTGTATTTAAAATTAAATTTCAACAGGTATGAAACTAACGTGTATGAAGAGTTAAATCTTTTTAGAAAGACTGATACCCAAGAATGATCATCTCTACATAAACTAAAATTCACATTTGGAAATACTTTATTAGAAATCTATCCAAATGTTGGCACAACCTACAAAATACTCTTAGCAGCTCCAGTGTCAGTTGCATCTACAGGAAGATCCTTCTCAAAATTAAAAATTATGAAAAACATTTCACGTCAGTTAGAATGGCGATCATTAAAAAATCTGGAGACAACAGATGCTGGAGAGGATGTGGAGAAACAGGAACACTTTTACACTGTTGGTAGGAGTGTAAATTAGTTCAACCATTGTGGACAACAGTGTGGTGATTCCTCAAGGATCTAGAACTAGAAATACCATTTGACCCAGTAATCCCATTACTGGGTATATACCTAAAGAATTATAAATCATTCTATTATAAAGATACATACACACATATGTTCACTGCAGCACTGGTTACAACAGCAAAGACTTGGAACCAACCCAAATGGCCATCAAAGATAGACTGGACAAGGAAAATGTGGCACATATACACCATGAATACTATACAGCCATATAAAAGGATGAGTTCGAGTCCTATGCAGGGACATGGATCAGGCTGGAAATCATCGTTCTCAGGAAACTGACACAAGAACAGAAAACCAAACACTGCATGTTCTCACTTCTAAGTGGGTGTTGAACAATGGGAACACATGGACACAGGGAGGGGAACATCACACACTGGAGCCTGTTGGGGGGGGTGGGAGGAATAAGGGAGGCATAGCAGGGGGTGGGGGGATTGGGTAGGGATAACATTAGGAGAAACACCTAATGCAGGTGATGGGGGGATGGATGCAGCAAACCATTATGGCAGGTATATACCTATGTAACAATCCTGTATGAACTGCACATGTACCCCAGAACTTAAGTATAACTTAAAAAATTACAAAAAATTTTTGTAATCTCATTTGCTAAGAGTGACTAATGTTGCTTTTAATTATATCACTTAAAGTTTTTTTTTTTTTTTTTTTTTTTTTAGGACTGACCCTCTCATGAGAAAGAGAATTCTCCCTGGCTCCTACCCCAGACCATCAACCAAACCTGAAACTGGGGTGGGTCTAGTGCCTTTGTTTTCTTTTTCTTCTTCTTTTTTTTAATAAAGAAGAGGAAGAAAGAGAAAGAGGAAGAGGGAGAGAGGATGGGGGTATTGCTTTATTGCCCGGGCTAGAATGCAATCTAAATATGGGTATGCCTATAATTGTCCTTAATAATGGAGATATAAAAGAAAATGAGGGAAGAGAATAACAAACAAGGAGCCAACCAACATTTCATTTAAACTTCTAAGTTGATATGATGTGGTACTGATAAGAGTGTATATTTTGTATATTTAAAGTGGAGGGTTCTATAAATGTTAATTACATTTACTTGTTCCAGATCTGAGTTCAAGTCCTGGATATCATTGTTAATTTTGTCTCATTGATCTGTCTAATATTAATGTTGAAGTCTCCCACTATTATTATGTGGGAGTCTAAGTCTCTTTATAAGTCTTGTATGTCTGCATATTCCTGTATTGGGTGCGTATATATTTAGGATCTTTAGCTCTTCTTGTTGTTGCATTAATCCTTTTATCATTATATAATGTCCTTCTTTGCTTCTTTTGATCTTTGTTGCTTAATTGTAACTTCTGCTTTTTATTTATTTGTTTTAGCTCTCTGTTTGGTTGATAAATCCTTCTCCATCCCTTGTTTTGAGTCTTTGTGTATCCTTGAATGTGAGATGGGTCTGGATGCAGCATACTGATGGGTTTTAGTATTCAAATTGCCTGTCTGTCTTTGGATTGGGGAATTTAGTCAATTTAAATTTAGAATTAATAATAATATATGTGAATTTAATACTGCCATTTAATATTAGCTGGCTATTTTGCCCATTAGTTGATGTAAATTCTTCATTATATTGATGCTCTTTTTGGTTTTTTTTTTAGAAAGGCTGATACTGTTTGTTCCTTTCTATGTGTAGTGGTTCTTTCAGAAGCTCTTGTAAAGCAGGCCTGGTGGTGATGAAATCTCCGAGTGCTTGCTTATTCACAAAAAACTTTATTTTTCCTTCACTTGTGAAGCTTAGTTTGGCTGGATGTGAAATTCTGGGTTGAAAGTTCTTTTCTTTAAGGATGTTGAATATTGGTCCCCACTCTCTTCTGGCTTGTAGGGTTTCTGCCGAGAGATCTGCTGTAAGTCTGATAGGCTTCCCTTTGTGGGTAACCTGACCTTTCTCTCTGGCTGCCCTTGGTATTTTCTCCTTCATTTCAAGCCTGGTGAATCTGACGATTATGTGCCTTGGAGTTGCTCTTCTTGAGGAATATCTTTGTGGTGTTCTCTGTATTACCTGGAGTTGAATATTATCCTGCCTTACTAGGTTGGGAAAATTTTCCTGAATAATGTCCTGAAGCGTATTTTCCAGCTTGGATTCATTCTCTTCGTCACATTCAGGTACACCTATCAAGCGTAGATTAGGTCTTTTCACATAGTCACGTATTTCTCGGAGACTTTGCTCGTTCCTTTTTATCCTTTTTTCTCTAATCTTGTCTTCTTGTTCTATTTCATTGAGTTGGTCTTTGACCTCTGATATCCTTTCTTCTGCTTGATCAATTAGGCTGTTAAAACTTGTGCATACTTCACGAAGTTCTCATATTGTGTTTTTCAGCTCCATCAATTCACTTATATTCCTCTCTAAATTGTGTATTCTTGTTAACATTTTGTCAAATCTTTTTTCAAAGTTCTTAGTTTCTTTGGATTGAGTTAAAACAAGTTCTTTTAATTCACAGAAGTTTCTTATTATCCACATTTTGAAGCCTGCTTCTGTAATTGGAACACACTTGTTCTCCATCAAGCCTTGTTCCGTTGCTGATGAGGAACTGTGATCCCCTGCTGAGGGAGAGGCATTCTGATCCTGGGTATTCTCAGCCTTTTATGGCTGTTTTCTTCCCTTCGTTGTAGATTTATCCATCTGCGGTCTTTGTATTTACCATCTTTGTAATTGGGTTTCTGAGTGGACGTCCAACTTGTTGATTCTCAGAGCCGAAAATCTGAGCAACCCACTGCGCCGACTAAATCAGCGGCGTTAAGATTGATGGTGCTTTTCTGACTCTGCACCAAGAACCGACGCTCCGAGGCGCCGGCAAAACCACCTCGCCGGTCACAAGAGTCACGCTGGCGACCTGTGGGACCTGTGGGGC